TTCAAACGCAAGTTTTGAGCAGTGTAGAGTAGCGCTTGTTTGTCATTTCTCTGATCACAAATGCAGACATGATTTTATGTTTATGCGGCGCGATGCAACGCAACACGTAAAAAGACAGTATTAGTCATTTTAATCTGTAATTGTGTCCCCACTGGATGCAACAAATGTCTCGTTTATAATGGGTTTTAATGTTTTTGAATCATCGCTCCGGCCGGACAGGGCATCACAGTATGGTAAGGGGCGTAACATTCACGTCATATGCTTGAGGTATTCGGCCAATCACAACGCACTGGATAGCTGGCCAATCACAGCAGACCTCGCTTTTCAGACCGATGAGCTTTGTAAAAATCGACGTGTTTCAGAAAGGCGGGGCATAGAGGAGAAACAATAATGTACAGTATGTGGAAAATAATGTGTTTTTGAACTTTAAACCGCATAAACATATTTCATTACACCAAATACACCAAATAATGTTCTTTTTAGCAACACCATATGACCCCTTTAAGCAAATGCAGGTGGAAAAAATTATAATAAAATGAAATTAAAAAATCACTCTTAATTTATTGTCATTGAGTTACACTACCATTTAAAAGTTTTGGGACAATAACATTTATTAATGCTTTTGAAAAATGTATTTATGCTCACAAATAATGCATTTATTTGGTCAAAGATACCAGTAAGAATGTGTAATATTACAATAATATTAATATTACAATTTATTACAATTGTGTTAATATAATTTAAGTGTCACATCCTTCAGAAATCATTCTAATGTGCTGATTTGGTGCTCAAGAAACATTTCTTATTATTATCGATAAATATTGCTGCTAAATATTTTTGTGAAAACATTTCTTCATGAATTGATTAATAGAAAGCTCTTAAAAGTTTTGGGACAATAACATTTATTAATGCTTTTGAAAAATGTATTTATGCTCACAAATAATGCATTTATTTGGTCAAAGATACCAGTAAGAATGTGTAATATTACAATAATATTAATATTACAATTTATTACAATTGTGTTAATATAATTTAAGTGTCACATCCTTCAGAAATCATTCTAATGTGCTGATTTGGTGCTCAAGAAACATTTCTTATTATTATCGATGTTAAAAACAGTTGTGCTGCTAAATATTTTTGTGAAAACATTTCTTCATGAATTGATTAATAGAAAGCTCAAAAGAACAGCATTTATTTAAAATAGTCTTTACAAAATAATCTTTATTATAATATTTATAAATGTCTTGTCATATTGTCACTTTTGAGCAATTTAATGCATCCTTGCTGAATAAAGGTATTCATTTCTTTAAAATAATAATAATAATAATACATCTTACTGACCCCAAACGTTTGACCAGGTAGTGTATGATTTTGAGTATGGTTATGGTATTATTGTTGTTATGAAAAACTGATATTATATCAATAATCATGTAGATGATAGGAAGAAAATAAGCATCAAATAGACAGTAAACAAATAAATATTAATTAATTTACAAAGTTTAATTAAAAATCATCATCTCTTTATCATTAATGTAATCCAGTACTATAAAAGCAGGTCTGAGAAAATCAAACCCAAGTCATTTTGTCAATCCTTTAAAACAAGCAATTAAAAATTCCATAATATTACACCCATTCATGGACAGAGTAACATTTTGTACCATATGAATTAAACTGATATCTGTGCAAAAGGAGATATCAGACACATGTATACATAATATTTGTACTACATGAGCATTTAAATATATATATAGTCTATACAAGATGTGTGTGTAGATACACACAAATACAAACAAACACATACATGGACATGCAGTACATGCATGTGCAAATATAGATTTATTTTTTAATTAAATAAAATATATGCTTCCCAGAAGCACTTAAGAGCTTAGGTGTCCTATACATTGTATAAGATCATATAAAAGAATAAAATTATTAATTATAATACAAATAACAATAGTTACAATAAGATAATATTAAAAATTAACAAGCTAAAGGTACATTGGTAAGTTGACGAACATTCCCATTTGGGTTTATTACCCAGACCAGGCAACTCTGCCCATTGTGCAAAAGGGCAGACATTTCTCAGGGTTTATAGAGTCACAGAACTGAGATTTCTGTTTCCAGAATGATAACAGGGTTCAAATTTTTGTTTCTGGACCCTCTGTGTGGATTGGCTGGAAGGAATTGCGAATACGAGCAGCTTCAGCGGCGCAAAGGTGTCCGAATGCTTTGTTATACCAGTCCGGAGTTCTCCCCCTGAAAAATAAAAAGTGCAGGACGTGACCCCACTGACGTGTATGGATTTCTATGAACAATGCGGTTACAGTCCGAGAATTCTATTTATGTGTATGAGTGAGTCAGTCAGCTATATTTACTCACTTCAGGTCCACTCTGCAGATGTGGGTGAGTCTGGACTTGCCAGAGCCACAGGGCTCCAGTAAGTAATTGGATTCCATCACTATAGCTCTGATGCCCCCTATAGGCGGACAGTCCTCATGCTCAACAGACACGGACACCAGAGAACACGTCCCCCGTGGCAGATCCGTCCTCCACGACCTGAGCACAAACATCAGTGGAACTTTATAAAAAATCGCTGTCATCTGTGATCTAAACTGTAAATCCATCCACCCATCCAATTAATTATTATTATTATTATATATTTTTTTTGGGTTACCACTCATTTGGACAAATTCATTTTCTATAAGTTTCCAGTCATTTATTTTTGCTTATGTCATTTATTTTTGTAAGGTTATTTCTGTGAGATATATGAAATGATACAACATAACGTTGCTAGTATTCGCTACACATATATATTAAATATAAATTAATTTAAAAATGTTTAAATTAAAAAACTAATTTACATGGCTTTCCCAAGTCTTTCCCAACTACCAAAATTCACCAGAATGCCCAGGTTTCACATGACTGTGGGAACCCTTTTATCTCATTCATTTAACCAGTGCTCCATAAATCTGTATATCGTTTAAAAAAACAGCAGAAAGCATCACGTCATTCCCTCAGTGAACAGACAGACCCACCTGAGCACTACAAAGTCTCTGCTGGGATGAGGAGGCATACAGTTGAGGACATACTGGAAAACTTCCGTTTGCCTGTCCAGGACCTCACACACTTTCCAATTCATCAGATCCACGTCCCACAGGTGGCGTTCCCGAAGAACACGGTTTAGAACCACAGACGGAGGGGCTTCCACCTCCACTGAGACCCTCCAACGCCGCAGAGGGTTACCATCACCCACCTGGAGTTAAACCAAAGAACCTCACTTAGTATTCATTAGCAGTATTATCAAGATTTTATTTAATCTTTATGTCGTGTTGTGAAAAGTCAGAATTTTCCAATCATACCTTCTTATAGGACAGCTCTGTGTTGCCGGTGCTCTGACAGGACACCCAACCTTTGGCCTTTTCCCGTGATTCTTTGAGGAGACCCTGTAGCCTGGCCTCCATGAATGCAGGCCAAGAGCCTTCATCTTCCCCCTCTTCCTCTTGATGTTGCCGTTTGCAGAGCTCCTCAATCGTGGGAGCCTGAAGCTCGGCCTCCACGTAGGAGTTTCGTGATTGTGTCACCATTTCATGTGGAATCTGAGGGAAAATAAAACAATTTGTGGTCTGCATTAGGGACAATTGAAAAGGCAAATAAAAACCAAAAAATGTGAATGCATTGTGAGTAAAGTATAGATGCGTGTGTGTCTCACCTCAAACAAGCGGTTACACTCTGTGATCATGTGTACCAGGCCCTGAGTGGCAGCCAGGTTTTCATTCAGGTCCTTTTGGTCTGGCCTCCCTGTAGCATACTTTTTCTGCATCTGCATAGCTCTGCAGACAGAATAGAAAATGATTTAGTTAAGATGACAATAAACTTTTCATGAAATTAATTTCAATAATTTAATAATTTAATTTTATAAAAAGTTAAATAATTTTATTTTAAACAATAAAATGTAATATTATTATAATAATAAATTCAAGTCAAGAAATACATATTATTCCATATGAATTATTTGGACATTTTATCTGCCATATAATGATGGATGAAATTAATACATTATATACTACAGTAGATCAATAGTAGATATGTTATCTACCTTGGTGCAAGATTGTCCTTCTTCAGGATGTTGAGATGAAAAAGTGAAGGTGCCAGACACACTGCAATGTTCATAGGCGTCATTTGATTCTCTTGCACTGAGGATGTGACATCGCTCAGGAAGCAGAGCAGTGTTTGCAGTACCTCTCTGTTTTCATCTGACATCAGCATGATGGCCGTCTGCACAGCCTGCAAGCGCTGCTCTTTGGGCACATCTAAAGAAGAAACAGGGATCAGGTGACTAAAGGAAATCTGTATTTCTCTTCCTAAATGCATGAGATGGATGTAGGAAAGGGGTTAGAGTTGGTAAGTGTTTCTTACATTGGTAAATGTGGAGGAAGGTTTCACCCAGTTTGCTGGTCAGAAGTGGCTCAGGCAGATCCCTGAAGAACTGTTTGACCATGTCGGCCACATCATACGCAGACTGGTCTTCATAGTTGACATCATCTGGAGAATTCTCATTCATCTGTCTGAGAGCTTGGATACGAGACTTCACTCCTGACTTACGAAAAAGACCCACCTAGAACACACAAGACAATTTTAATAGTGAATTTTCTCAGATTTTTTAGGATGTTGAAAACAAGAAATTGTACATTAAAACTGTAAAGAACTTAAGCTGACTTAAAAGGAAATATAATATAATGTGCACATACAGGATTATGTACATTCACATTTAAGAATAATTGTTTAGCCCATTAAAAATTGTAAATAAAAGATAATCAGACAAGCATGATTACGAAAATAGGCTTCAGCATTATTTATTGAAATAAAATATTATGATACTGTTTTCAGATTGCCATTAGATGTTTATACAGTTATATTGTTGATTTGATGACCCTGACTAACCTGATCAAGGCACTGGCTCCTGAGGTAGCGCAAAGCCTGCTGGACACCAAGAGGTAAAGGTTGACCGAAGCGTTGCACATGCACAAACAGTGGAACCCCGAACACATTCTTATCCTTATAGTCTGGAACCTTCATCCTCTTCATAAACTTTGGCACAGACCTGAGAGGTACAAAAAAAACAAAAAAAATTAAAT